TGGCTCATCTGTATCTGGAACCCTGTTCTAGGTCTGGCCCTGGGTGAGTCTGGAAATTGAGCCACTAGCCAACCAGGTGCATCCCTGCTATCCCCTGCCATCTTCATGGAGCTCACAGATTGGTGGGGAAGGGAGATGTCATCATCACCTTGATAAGGGGATATGATGGAAACAGGGCTGCAGTGCCACTCAGCCCGGCATTGGAGCCCGAGTGGCCTCACCCTACACGCTGGAAGGCTGCACTCCCTCCGCTCTGGACACTTCTCAGAGCGTCACATCTATTTATTTCTCTACTGAGCAAATCAGGAGGCACGACTTGTATGTGCATGGCTTCACAGGTGGAGGTGTTGGGGCTTTTGACAGGGTTTTGGCCATTCATATAAAGAGATTTTGTGTTATTTTTTTTGCCAGAAGTACTGCCCTGGGCATTTGTGAGAGTCAAAGGTGACAGATGTTGCCTCTGCCTTCATGCCCACAGAGGACAAGTTAAACATGACAGAGCCCTTCCCCAGTGGTCCATCCTGACTAAGGCAGGCTGAGGGGACACCCTCTTCTTCATACCAGGCCTGGCGTTCCCTCAGCCAGCACTTCCCACTGCAGGCAGTGTTGCCTCCTGCTCTGAATCTTGAGCCCCTGAGGCAGCTTGTCCTCAGACTGATTGGCTGGCTGAGAAGCTGGAGGCAGCAGGTGGGAGGCAGGATATGAAGGGCAATCATGGAGAAGGGACAGTAGGCTGGCAGTCAGGGTGCACATGCTGAGGAGCTGGGTCCTGCAAGGAAAACTGGGCAGTATTTGGACCTAGAGTGCTGAGCTGGGGCCAGAGGCACTTTGCTGTCAGCAGAGGGAGCCATGAAGCCTCTGAGTAGAGCTATGCCCTTGGAGTCTTCAGCATCCAGCCAAGGGCTTCATGGGAAGGCCTCAGCAGGGTTGGTGGGTCATAAGTCACAGGTTACAATGGCATGTCTGTCCTCACAGGCGCTGTTGCCAGTCCTGGCAAAAAGGGGAATTATCCCCAACCTACAGACATTCTGCAACCTGGCCATTGGGTGTCGTAGGCCCAGGGATGGTCTACAGCTGCTTGCAGACATGAAGGTGAGGGGACTTAGGCCCAAGTAGGGTGCCTGTGGTTCTGGGGAACACTTGGGTGCTCAGGAAGAAAATCTGTGGGGGAATTGGGARTCCCAGGGAATTGTGGGCCCCAGGCCTCTGCACTGGGGCACGGCAAGTAGGATAGCTCCTTTCTGCTGCTGAATGGCCATTGGCCTCCTTTTTAGAGCAAGTTGATCTTGGTGAGCCACTGTGAGAATTGGTACAGAAAGCAGAGGGTATTCCTGTCTGGAAGATGGAGAGGTGGGACAGGTCTGGGACCTGACACTGCAGAGGGACCTTGCTAAATGGATTTCACCTCATCACAGCAGAGCGCCACTTCCTGGGGTGTTTGTATTCACTGTTGTGTCACCCAGCCAATGCTGGCTGCTTTTCTAGGCTTACCACCACATTCTGATGACCACACTTGTCTGTCACCAGAAAACTCATCCACGAGTGAGAAAGTGGTTGCCTCCTGCTTCCTTCTCTGCCTGTCAGTTATCTCAGTTCTTCAGGGACAACACATGCCTTCCTTTTAGAGGGGGAGGACAGCCTATTGTTGCTATGAGATTCCACATTGCATTCCTAGAAGCTGCCACAAGACAGCCAGAGCAGACTGTTCTGTCCTAACAAATATCATCTTTCTAATTGTGTGATATCCGTGGTGTTCTAGAAATCCCAGATGACCCCCAACACCCACATCTACAGCACTCTCATCAATGCAGCCCTCAAGAAGCTGGACTACACCTATCTCATTGACATCCTGAAGGACATGAAGCATAACAGGGTCCCGGTGAATGAAGTGGTCATCCGCCAACTGGAGTTTGCAGCTGAGTACCCACCCACCTTTGACAGGGTATGTGCACCAAGCTCTGAAATGCTCATTGTCTCCTTAATCATTGCTGTTCCTGCTTTTGACCTTTTGGGACTGGCATTTCCTTGCTTAAAATGTCAGCAGCTTCTCTTTAAGAGAAATCCTAAAGCCTTTAGGCCATACCTAGTGAGTCCTTGTTTGTATGGCTCTCTCAAGCCAGTCTTCCCATTATTGATGGGGAGTCCCATTCTCCTCTTTCCTACCTCAGTATATTTGTGACTCCTCTAGGTCCTTCTCCCATAGGTCTGCTTAAATAGCCCTTTCTCAGAGGTGCCCTGCTGCTGTCTTCCCCATCTCCCAACATACAGCTCTGTTCCCTTATTTATAATTTTGGGGCTGGTAATTAAACCCAGGGGTGCCCTACCACTGAGCTACATCCCAAGTCTTATTTATTTGGTGTCAGGAATTGAACTCATGGGTACTTGACTACTAAGCCACATTCCCAGCCCTATTTTGTATTTTATTTAGAGACAGAGTCTCACTGAGTTGTTTAGTGCCTCACTTTTGCTGAGGCTGACTTTGAACCTTCAATCCTCCTGCCTCTGCCTTCTGAGCCTTTGGGATTACAGGTGTGTGTCACCACCCCCAGCTTCCCAGTTTCTCTTATTTTTGAGACAGAGTCTCACTAAGTTCCTGAGACTAGCCTTGAATTTGTAATCCTCCTGCCTCAGCCTCTAAAGTTGCTGGGATCATGGGTGTGTGTCACTGTACCCAGCACAGCCCTTGGTTTTTATGCCATGGTGTCCGTTCTTTGTGATTTTTGCCTTTCCTAAATCCTAGGCTTCTAGAGGTGGAGATGGTCTGCCTTGTCTACCTGGGTTCYAAGTGCCTGCATATTGCTTGGTGCTTAGTAGACTTCTGTCTAGTGGGTGGACAGCAGCAGGTAGTGATGGGATTTGTTTGATAATGGACATCTCTCTTGCTGCTGCTCTCAGGATATCAGGCTCTGGTGTTTGGATTTATGCAGACCCTGTGGAGAAAGAGCATCCAGGGCAGTCGTGGCCTGGAGAGAGACAGTAAATGGGCAAGGGCATGCTGAGCCATGTGACCAGGGGCTCAGGGACACTTCAGTAATGGCACTTGAGTGCTGTTTTGAAAGCTGGGTAGGAATGCTCAGGACAGGGCAGGGTATATACCAGGCAGAGGGTGTACCTAGGCATCTTGACTCTTTCCCATGGATTCCTGAGTTGATATATTCTGATACTAGTTTTTTATTGTTGTTGTTGGTTGGTGGTTTTGTGGTGCTGGGGCTCAAACCCCAGGTCTTGTGCATGGGAGGTGAGTGCTCTACCAGCTGAGCTACACCCCAGCCCAGTTCTGGATACTATTCTTTCAGTTGCATGTTGCAAATAATTTCTGGTTAGTGGATCATCTCTACCACTAGGAATCTTCATCACAAGACACCCTGAGGCCTAAAGTTTCCTATATTCAAATCATAGACTCCGAATTATGAAAATATAAAATTGTTTATATTTGTTTGTGACTGTCAGGTTTTGCTTTTTGTATTCTCTCTGGCTATATTAGGTGTATTCAAGTTTAGAATTGCTACAATCTTTTTTTTTTTTTTTAAAGAGAGAGAATTTTTAATATTTATTTTTAGTTTTCAGTGGACACAACATCTTTGTTTGTATGCGGTGCTGAGAATCAAACCCGGGCGGCACGCATGCCAGGCGAGCGCGCTACTGCTTGAACCACATCCCCAGCCCTGCTACAGTCTTTTTAATCAAACCTTATATCATATGTGGTAATGCTCTGTATCTCTGATCATTCTTTTCTTTTGCCTATTTTGTCCTCCATCCCCTACGTTCTTACAGTACCTGGTGTATCTTGTTTCTCCTTTTCTTATCAGCCCTCTGTGGAGATGGCTGCAGTAGTCCCAAGGTGATAGGTCAGAAGGGAGTCAGAGGCTCTGTTCTGGAAAAGGTAGAATTGGTGGGACCCAGCAATTCATGTGGGGGCTCTGTGACATCTATGGATTGAGGAACAGTACAGTGCACATTCAGGAAGAAAAATAACTGTTGGACAGATAGTGGTCTGGCCTGCCACATATAATTACTTTGAATTAATTTATGTATGTATGCATGTATATATGGTCGGTCCCGGGGATTGAACCCAGGAGCACTTTACTGCCGAGTTACATCCCCAGCCCCTTTTCATTTTTAGACTTTTTCTGGCTAAGTTGCTAAGGGCCTTGCTAAATTATTGAGGCTGGCTTTGAATTTAAGATCCTCTTGCCTCAGCCTCTGAGTTACTGAGATTACAGGTGTCTGCCACCATATCTGGCTGGAATTTCTTCCTTAATGGTGGCAATGCTCATGTTATATTCTTCTCTGTCCCCTGTAGTCTCCTGGAAGCAAGAATAGTAGGGATAGCTTCCCCAAGGACTGAGCCAGCTGCTGGGTTATGAGAATAGCTGTAGACAATATACAGTGATTCTGATTACCAGGACTCCCCTGAATTCCATGTTTTTCCAATTATAGTACAAAGGGAAGAACACTTACTTGGAGAAGATCGATGGCTTCCGAGCTTATTATAAGCAGTGGCTGAAAGTGATGCCAGCAGAGGAAACCCCCCACCCCTGGCAGGAGTTCCGGACCAAGCCCAAAAGAGACACTATCAGGGATGCTGGTGTGGATGAAGTCCTTGGGAGCAGGTAACAGAATGCACAGCTAGAACAAAGTGCCTGGACCTTGGTGCCTGATGGGAGTCCCAGGAGTCCTTTCCATGATAAAGACAAGCAAACATGCTGGTGTCACCTTCCTTGAGTTGGAAATGCAGCATTTTATGGGTACAGATATGAGGACAAACACTGGGCCCAGGGTGCCCAAGAGCACCTGCCACAGCAGGTCCAAGAGCAATCTTTGCACATCATCTCAGATCAATTTCACCTGAGAAACTGTCMGCCTATCATTGCTGTGTGACTTGTGGTCATACAGTACGTATGAGATGGAGCCAGGACTAAGMACGGAGGTTCCCTGGGGCCTGGCATTTTCCTACCAGGTTCCAGTTTGTTACTATCAAAGAATGGACATAAGGCCCAAGAGGTTTCAACGTTTTATTTTTATAAATCACATCTGGTGAAAACCAAAGCCTTCACCTATAGAGGTGCTCCAACTCACTCCTGAGGCACTGCTGACGAGCTGCTCCCAAGAAGCCGTGGCAGGATATGCAGAAGCCTGCAAGGTCCGAAGTCCAGGGTGGAGAGGGGCCAGGCCTATGGCCTCAGCCAGAGCAGCCCCGACAGCCACAGTGTGTACACTCGATGATGCGGCCCTGCAACAGAGCATAGCTAAGCTACTGCACCTGGTCACACACCCATATACCCCGACCCTCTGGCTAAGAAGGGTGCCAACAGTGTATTTCCTGCAGAACACATCTCAGAAACCTTTGCTGGATTAGTTCTGGACAGAGGAACTTCAGTTCCCTCATGAAAATGGGAAATGCTACTCTTCACACTGAAGTTATATTTGTGTGCATTTAATACATAAATTCAACATACACAATTGTCAAAAAGGAAAAAAATCTGTGTGGATGAGTCTCATTACTCTACCAGTGAGCTGAGGCAGGTGCCACTGCTCAGAGGGCTCATACCAGGGGTCTCAAGGCTCCTCTCTGCTAGGACACTGGGGCAGAAAGGTATACACTTGAGTTTCTGTGGCTTACAACAGAGTCTTATCCCAAATGCCCAGTGGCTGGCTGGGGTCTGCCCAGCAGACTAAAGGCCCTAGAGCAGTGGTTTATGTTAATTTTATTTTTCCAGTTCTTTTTTTGAGGAACAGAGTTTAGTCTAAGCAAACAAAATCCTCTGCTGAAACTCAGCCAAGTTGAAGGTAGCCTTTGCTAGGTTGAYGCAGTACCTCTGTCACAACACCCCTGTGGAATCCTGGGGCTCTCAGAAGACAGACTTCTGCTGCTCTGCCACCCCTGCCCTCATCATGCCCACAACATAGCCTTCCCTCCAGAGCCAGCCCTTCCCACTGCTGAGTATGCCCATGCATGAGCTTCCACATGGTGCAGGCAGAGCTAGCCACTGCGTTACAGCCCTCAGTACTGAGCCAAAGCTCTAGGAACTCACTGCAGCATAAAGGATACCATGGAATAAGGCGCCTGTGGGAAGCTAGGAGGAAAAAAGGACAAGCTGGGCCATCTGGCCTGACCTCTAGCTGAGCCAATAACTTGGCCAAGGGGCTACAGGACACGACTACTTAATTGGTAAGTAAGTGCCAATATCTAATGCCTGCCTTTTTCTGCAGCTTCATTTAAGAGGGGCTCAGGTCCTATTATTACACACACAGCACCATTCCTRAGGTGCCCTGCCTAGCTGTCAAACAGAAAGTTCTGATAAGAAATAAGTGGTGACATTAAAGTGGATTGAAGGGAAAGGGACAGGAACTCCTACTGACCAGCCATCCTTTCCTAATAYTGTTTCTCACTACCTCAGAGGTAGGTATTGCACCACCACTTCCTAAATAAGGAAAGGGATTGTTACTTGCCCAAAAGTGGAGTTGAGACTGGCTCCAGACTTAACAAGATTTCTAAGCCCCATCCCTGAACAGGGAACTCATTCCTGGGAGGGATGGCCAGCAGGATTCCAGTGACAAAACTGCCTTCCAGCCAAACCAAATGCTGTAAGCCCCCCTGGAGTCAATTAGAGCAGAGTTTTGAAGTGAAAACAATGTCAAATTCAATCATCAGGCATTACCACTTCCAGCTTGCTTTTAGGAACCCGGCAAATGCAGTTAGTTCCAAAATTGGTGTCCCGAGTCTGAATGCACCGCAGACAGCACAAGTTCTCATATCCCTGCTTTTTCCACTTTGCAATCAAGTTTTTGTCTGCATAACCTTCTTTAATACAATATTCATAGAGTTCTGTCAAAAGATTGGGAAAGGATATCAGACCATGGTGTAACAAACCTGCTTCCACCCTTGATTAAAAAGAAAAATTTGCCCATTTTTAGTGATTAAAACAAAACAAAACAAAACAAAAACTCATGGTGCTTGCTGAGGCTACAAGCATGAGAATCATTACTTAATTCTGAAAGTTCAAAGGGTCAAGAGAGAATTTAGCCAATTACCTCTGCTTATGGCTTTCCGCTTATAAAAGAGATCAAAGATATAGCGGGTTTTCTGGTGGTGGATCCTGAAGATGGGCCACAGAGATTCCACTTTTCTCTTTCCCTCATGAGGTTCTGTTTCAGCTGGGAAGAAAAAAAGTATGTTTGTTTTGAGGAGCAGAATTAGTCTACACAGGATGTTTTGTTTTCCAATAACTACATATAATAAATGAATACTACTTTATACCCCCTAAAATGGCTATAATCAAAATGAAGGACATTAACAAGTATTAGGGACAATGTGGAGAAATCAGGCTCCATACCCTGCTGGTGGCAATAGTGTAGCCACTGTGGAAAACAATTTGACAATTTCTCAAGAAGTTAAATATATATGGACATTATAGTGCGTATCTGTAATCCTAGCAGCTCAGGAAGCTGAAACAAGAGGATCACAAATTTGAGGCCAGCCAAGCAACTGATGAAGACCCTGCCTCAAATAAAAGATTAAATAAAGGGCTGTGGAGGCTGTGGCTTAGTGGCAGAGTGCTTGCCTAGCATGTGTGAGGCACTGGGTTCGAGCCTTAGCACCACATACAAAAATTAGCAAATGAAATAAAGGTATGCTGTCCATCTACAACTACAAAAAAAGGTGGTGTGTGTGTGTGTGTGTGCGCGCGTGTGTGTGCGCGCGCGCATACTGGGAATGTAGCTTAGTGGTAAAGCACCCCTGGGTTAGTTAAATCCCTCAAAAATACAAAAGAAGTCAAACCTAAAGAGTTACCATATGACCCAGAAACTCTTAGATACACACCAAAGATTACTGAAAATATACATGTATGTGCAGACTAATATGAGAATATTTGTAGAAGCCAAAAAAAGTACTAACAACCCAAATGTCCATCGACTCAAGAATGGATAAACACTTGGGTGCGATGGTACACACCTGTAATCCCAGCAGCTTAGGAGACTGAGGCAGGAGGATCTCAGGTTCAAACCCAGCCTTAGCAACTTAGTGAGACTCTGTCTCTACATAAAATACAAAAAAGGGCTGGGGAGGCAGCTCAGTGGTTAAGCGCCCCAGGGTTCAATCCCTGGTGTGTGTGTGTTGGCAATGAATAAACAAAGTGTAGTCTATTCATACAAAGGTAGAACTGAGGGTGGTGATGGCTGCACAGGTCTCTGAACATACACTTTAAAAGGGTCAATTTATAGTATGTGATTTATATTAATAAAGTAATTTAAAAAGAAAAAGTTGAATATATTTTTGAAAAAATTTAGTCTTTTAAATATATATATATCCCTCCCACACACACACACACACACACACACACACACATACACACTTGGATTTTTGTTACAGTGGAAATAAGAATAATATGAACTAGGTCTGAAGCCTATGTGTTTATCAACAATGAGAGGGCCAAGAAATGCTGAAAGACTGTAACAAATAGAAATGAGAGAGCCAGCTAGGTGGTGCATGCCTGTAATCCCAGCAGCTATGGAGGCTGAAGCAGGATGATCACAAGTTCAAAGCCAGCTTCAGCAACTTAGTGAGACCCTGTCTTTTTTTTTTTTTTTTTGAGAATTTTAATATTTATTTTTTAGTTCTCGTCGGACACAACATCTTTGTATGTGGTGCTGAGGATCGAACCCGGGCCGCACGCATGCCAGGCGAGCGCGCTACCGCTTGAGCCACATCCCCAGCCCCAAGAGACCCTGTCTAAAATAAAGAGCTGGGAATATGACTCAGCGGTTAAGCACCCTTGAGTTTAAATAAATTCCAGAAGAAGGACTACTTTGTTTTGGAGATTTAAAAAAAAAAAAAAGTAGGGGCTGTGGCTCAGTGGTAGAGCACTCACTTAGCACATGTGAGACACTATGTTCAATCCTCAGCACCACATAAAATAAATAAAAAGGTATTGTGTCCAAATACAACTAAAAAAAGAAAAAAATTTTTTAAAAATCCACATCTAAATACAAGGTAAATTGACCCTCTCAAAGTCAACCCTGGGTTGGGTTCAATCCCTGTACCACCAAAAAAAAGAAAGAAAAAAAAAATCACTCCCTAAAAGAGGAGTAGTTTTTTGTTTTTGTTTTTTAAATTCCAGCTCACTCCCATTTCCCTTATCTTACTTGACATAGAGCTGTTCAGAGAAGAAATCTCTCAGTCCATAATGACCTTGACTACAGCAAGTTCTGGGGGCTTAATAGAAGTTACCTAACACCATTAGTTGTGAAAACAGGAAGCAAAGTATTTTAACATTGGTTTAATAATGATTGCTGGAGGTATGACCTCATAATAACAGTGGTTTGATTTGTTTCAAACAAGCATTTTAAAAGGTTGCTTTAGGGGTTGGGGACAGTGGTAGAGCACTTCTGTAGTATGTATAAAATCCTAGATGTCATCTCAGCACCACAAAAACAGTTGCTTTAAATGGTAATCCAGACTTGTGGCTTCAGATAAAAACTTCAAAGATAGCATATTACATGGGTTCACAAAGTGCAAGATCACACAGAGGGAAGAACAATGGTGCAGTCTAGGAAACTCCTAGATGACGGAAAGACTGATGAAGAAAATAGTGTCAAAGACCCAGGTCATAAGAAAGTGAGTAAAGATGTTTCCTAAAGAGTAGCATTTTCAAGTAACTATACTTTATATGATTTTAAATACACAACCAAAATAGTAAATAGGTAGATTATTTGACCTATATTCCCTCAAGCTTTGTATTCACATTGGTTAAAACAACTTTTTCGAGGACAATTTCATCAATGTTATTTCCAGCACTTTCAGCATTCTGAGTTAATACACAAAGCATGCCAATGTTATGTTGTTATACTGAATTTGTGCTTGGCCCCAGAGGTACCTAAGCCCACAACCTTCTGTCAGCCCACCACAGAAGCACCCAACTCACCTTCTCTCATCTTTTGATCTAATTCATCCAGTGTTGGCTCAATCAACTCCCAGCCATCTGGGGGAGCTTTCCTGCTTCTTTTGACTTTAGGCATTTTCCTCCCACAAGATAATGTACAAAGATCTGGAGGGGGAAAATTAAATACATTGGTTTCTGAGTCTCAGATTACCTAAGGCCTTTGCCAGCCACTGTTTTGGTACACATTCACTTCCTTGAAGTGGCCCAGGGTAGTAACTATGGGGGGGGGGGGGCGGCGGCTCAACATCCAGACTGCCTGGGTTCAAATCTTGGTTCTTTTACTTATTCATTGTGATTTTTAGAAAGCTACTTAACCTCCCTAAATCTTGGTTTCTTTATCTGTAAAATGGAGTCATTGTGAATTATTATAATTCATGTTATAATGTAACATGCCTGGTATGTAATGTGCTTAACAGACTGTGTTGTTATTAACTAACATCAACTACATCCTGGGCTTGTACTGGTTATTGGGAATACAGAATAAGCAATTAAAACACAGCCCCTGCCTCTTAGAAGGTGACCTTATCGTAGAGACAAAGACAAGTGAAAAGGCAATTACAATACAGTGTGAGGGCTACAACTGAGGGAGGAAAATGGATGAGTGTTTAAAAGGGAAAAGATGGCTATAAAGCCACAGTACCTTAGGATCTCTTTCCCAGGAGTGTAATAGAAAGCTCTTCGGTCTCTGCAGTTACAGGCTTAGATTCTTATTTAGCGCTACCAATTATTTTGTGACTTTGGAGAGATCACTTTCCCTCTTGGGCTTTAGTCTTATCTGTAAAATTAGGGAGTAGATTAGCTGATTGCCAAAGTCACGTTCAGATCCAAGGAACGTGTTCTATAAAGTCAGGTAAAGTCCGTACAATAGGCAAGTCCAAATCTAAAGAGCAAAGCATGTTTTTCAGACTACATAGCATTTCCTAGCTGGCATGGAGAGCTCAGGTTATCTCTTACCTTTAAGCATAGGAGACTCATCTCTCCCAAACTCATTGAGTCCGTCTCACTTTGTGATCCCTTTATAAGGTCTCACCCCTACTCCTGAGCACCTCTTTTCATAATCTCTCCATAAACTTACAGACGAGGAATCAAACTAAGAGGTAGCCTCAGAGTTGCACAACTGGAAATTGTCAAAGTCTGACTCTGAATAGGGGCTCCTGATTCCTAAATCGGTGGTCCTGCACAGAAGATAGAGATGGATGGAATCTGATCCCTGCCCCACGGCGCAGAGTCGGTAGCAAGAGCATCACTTTTCTCTGATCCAGAGAAATTCGAGGGCCCTGGCCCAATCTGGGATTCAAAGGAGGGCTCTAGGGGGGTAAGCAGACCAAGAGAAAAGAGATGGTGGGCGGTATACAAAGGCTGGAAAAGAGGCGAGGGGGAGTGAAGACATTACAGCCAGAAAGTAGGGAAGGCTCACAAAGAGGACGGGATCTTAACGGCACAGAAAAACAAGCAGTACTTAGAAAACAGCTCCGACAGAGAAAACGGCGTGAAAAGCCAAGAGGCAAAGAAGACCTCATATCTACCGTGACCTCGGCAGATCGAAAAAGGCGCCGTCTCCGGCCTCTCGGTCCAGACGCTCAGATTGCCCTCCCGGCCAGCTCAGCTGTCGTCCCAGGCTGTAGTTGCCAAGGTACAATACTTCAGAACAGAAAAAACACTCACCGGAAACCAAGGCACCTAGGGCCGCCGCTTCTCTATTGACGGCTTCCGCCCCTCAGGGGTCTTTTCAGGGTGAGGCCCCCGTGGAGCCCCGCCCCACCTCGCGCGGAGATTACGTCACTGTAGGTGTCCAAAGCGCTGCCTGTATAGAATTCCGGCGCCGCTGTCGCCCCTTGCCTTCACGTCCCGGAAGGTGGCCCGCACAGCTACGCGTTTCCCCAGGCGGGGAGAGTAGGGGCGCTGTAGCCCGGCAGTACGTAGGCGGAACTAAACTCAGGCGACTCGCGAGACAGTCGGGTTTCGTGAGCCGGCCTCCGTGAGGTCCCGGTCCTCGCGGCGACTGCGGCGGCGGCGGCGGCGCGTGGAGGGAACTGGGCCGGGCGGAAGAAGTCGAACACAAGGTATTTCCGGTTCCGGTGTCAGTTCGAGGCGCCGCCGCCGCAGCCGCCGGAGCCGCGATGCCTAAAGGAGGTGAGGGGACGGCGCGCGTGGCCCGCGGTCCTGGCGGGGCGTCCTGGGGCTGGCTCCCGCTGCCCCTTCAGGCCACGGGCTTCTAGCAGAGGGGCGCAAAGGGACGCCGTCGGCGCCGGCTGAGAGCCAGGCCCTGCCCGCGACGCCCGATTGTCCCGGTGGGGAAACTGGGGACCGTGGTGGTCCAGAGCTACTCCCTCCCGGGTCTCAGGCGATTCAGAGGCCCTGGTTCCCACCGGCCCGGAAAGCCGGACTCGGGCACCCTTCTCCGAGCCTGGTGGTCTGGAGTTTCTTCCCACTGCCAGGCTGCCCGGAGACTGAGTCACCGCGTCCCGCGTGTGTGCCGGGCCTGCCTGCCTCGCGCGTAAAGTGTGGGCCTTTTCAGGCTCCGGCTCAGCCAGGCCTGCCTAGTAAGACCTAACGTGATGCTGTGGAGCCTGGCAGACTGGGCTTTCATGCCCGCATTCGGTAGCAGCTGAGCGTGTGCCTTTGACCCAGTCGTGTAACTTCTTTGTGTCTCAATTTTTTCATTTGCAAACGAGAAATTACTATTGCATCTACCTCATAGTACTGATGAGAGACTTAAACTAGGTAATCCACGTAGAGTGCTCAATACAGTGCCGAGCAGTCGTTAAGTGCACAGTAGGCATTAGCAATCACTGTTTGCTGCAGAGTTTGGCTTGCTCTTGAAGGTTTATGGCTTCCCAGTACGTTGTAGGCCATCTTCCATCCTTTTTCCCTTTCAGAACCGATGGTCTTTCTTTTGAATCTCCGCTATACCATAGTCCAATTCTGTGGCCTTGAACTTATTTAACTTTCCACCTTTTTTCCCCTTCCTCTAGAATACCAGAGTGATAATTGTTAGCTTGGCGAGTTGGCTATGACTGAATGCCTGACTAAAATGACAAAGTGTCTGCCTAGCTCCTGGCAAAGAACAGATGTTCAGTTAATATTGGTACCTTACATGTTATGCTGGTTAATGCACTCAGCCCACAGGAACATCTGCCTGGAATTTTTCAAACCTAAATTATTTTCCGACTCTACATTCATGCTTTACAGAGCTGAATCTATTTAAACGTAGTTCTTTGCTGATTTATTGTGACACTGGGAGAGCCAAGTCTCTTAGGTTCCCTACACTTTTCATCTGTAAAAGACAATGGGAATACCGAATGAGACTTTCTGGTTCCAGGGTTGGAGGATACAACTAGAACATTTTAAATATGAATTCATGGCTAACTCACTTGGTCTTTTGTGAAAAACTTTGCAGGCTGACAAGTTTTTCTTGCTTGAGTTAATTTACTTGAAACAGCACAAGAAAACATGAAGATGTTAAGAATATGAAATTCTCCAAGAGCAAAGGACCCAATTGTGCTTTTTATTAAAAAAAAAAAGTCTTGAAGTGCCTCTGATAAAAGTTACAGTAGAGCAAGCCAAAGTCAGTATGTCATAGCCAAGTGTAGTGGATGAGAGCCTGTAATAACCAATTTTGAATTATTACCATTGCCTGAAATATTAAGAGGGCAAGAAAGGATCTTGCCTTTTTTTTTTTTTCTAACAACAAGCTTGGTCTCACAATAGGCCTTTCATGCATATAGCTTAGATACTCCTGGGAACCCAGGTAGTCATTAAAAATGGGTGGTGTGGGCTATAGCAACCCAATTATGGCTCTGCAGCTGCTGTCTAGGAAATCAAAGGAGGCAGTATCTCTGCTACTGTCTCAAGAGTCTGGAGCAACTCTGGCTGCTCATTAGTAATTTTCTGCTCACAATGAGGAACCCTCTGGAAATCAGGTGGGTCTCAGCTTTTAGGAGAGATCCTGTTTTGGGATGGAGGCTACACCCACCTCTTCATCCTCTAGGACCAACAGAGGGAATGATGCCCTGCTTTAAAATGCAGATGGTTTTGGCACAGTCTAGTGTTCTGGCTCTAGAGGGTCAGGATACAAAACTCATTCTTAGGTGAACTTTCATTGCTAGTCACATTTTTAACTCTCAGATTATAGTTAGTTTTATTTTCCCCTTTAATTTTGCCAGGTGAATTTCAAGTAAGAGTTTTTTTTGGGGGCGTGGGGAGTTGCATATCTGGGATTGAACTCAGGGGCACTCAACTACTAAGCCACATCCCCAGCCTTATTTGGTATTTTATTTAGAGAATGGGTCTCACTGAGTTGCTTAGTTCCTCACCATGGCTGAGGCTGGCTTTGAACCTTTGATGCTCCTGCCTCAGCCTCCCGATCCACTGGGATTACAGGTGTGTGCCACCGTGCCTGGCTCCAACTGGAGTTTTTGCTGACAGGTTTTGGGGTCATTTCTCCTTAAGTAGTCTCTTTATACTGAACCAGTATGAAATTTTTTTTTTCTCTTCTGAATTTGCCGTAAAGTGGGGGTTTTGTTTTTTTTAAATGTTTTTAAATTTTGGTTATTGTTTTCCCATCAAATGCTGTATTAGAAAAGTAATAATCAAGGCTGCAGTTGTGACTCAGTGGTAGAATGCTTGCCTAGCACGTGTGAGGCCCTGGGTTCAATCCTCACACCACATAAAAATAAGTGAATAAAATAAAGCTAAAAGAAAAGAAAAATAACAATCTTAGCAAACATTTGTAGTGCTTATCCAGTGCCAAGCACCTTCTGCCAGCTTTGCATATGTTAGTTAATCCATTTTCATGGCAGCCCTATGAAGTAGGGGCTCAAGTGAGGAAACTGCTACTCAGGAGGTTAAATACCTTCCCAAAGTCACAATCTAGGGAAGTGGTAGCCCTGGCATTGGAACCCAGGTTTTGGACTCCAAAGTTCTTACTCGTCACATTCTGCTTTGATCTTAAGTCTCCTTGTCTACAAAATGAAACCAGCAATGCCTCTTGAGCCACAGGTTTGTTCTGAGGACCAAATGAGCCCATGGCTGTGACAACATTGCAAGTAAAAAGTCCCTTAGTGACAGCAGAGGTATAAATATTACATGTTTTTATGCCTGCATCTAAGTCTACTGTGTTTTAATTCTAAGGGACCAGGGGATTTAGTTATTTATTCTGTGCCATGCACATGTCCTCCTCAAGATTTATTTATGGGATCTTGCATTCATCACACAGTTTGCATCTACTGGTCATGAGTTGCTTCTTGTGTCCCTTTGAACACATGAGGGTGAGGGAGGTACAGGTTTGGTTGGTGCTTAGCTGTAGCCTCTAATGGGAGTGCTTCAAGTAGGACACAACCCTTTGGGGGGGGCGTTAAGGTAATCAGGACAGCTACTTTCTCTTACCTTCCTAAACTGCTCCTTGTTCAGGGAGAAAGGGAGGCCACAAAGGCCGGGCAAGGCAGTATACAAGCCCTGAGGAGATCGACGCCCAGCTCCAGGCTGAAAAGCAGAAGGCCAGGGTGAGTACATATAGTCTGTCCAGCCACTCCAGTGGTTCAGGGTGGTGCCTGGCCTCTTTGGCTCCCATAGAAGCCAGGTGAGGACTAAGGGTAAGCCAATGTGGGGGTGGGGAAGGTAGTGGACAGCAGATGTGAATTCTGGTAACCAGCCATATTAGAGGGAGACCATCCCGTGACTGGCTCTATTAGAAAGAGCTTGATCCACTTGGCAGTACTTGCTTAGTGTGCCTGCCTTCTTCTGGGGACTCTCTACTGTCCTTCTGAAGCTTGAGTTCCCTTACAGCCCACCATTTCTCTGATGCATCCTGTGGGACTCCTTGCCATACTCCACACAGCATGCTGCCCTACCTTTCCACATCCCCAGTGTGCTCTTTGCTCCCAGCTCTGTTCAACATCACCATCTCTGTGATCTTGCTGGTGCTACCCACATGCCCTCCAGTCCATACTATCTATCCCCTCTTGTCCTGCAGTACTTTGTCCAGGCTATTGTTGGTGTCCACGTCCCCTACCACACCATAGATCTGTGCTTGAATTCAGAGCCCAAGAGAGCATAGTCAGGCCTCCAGAACCCGCAAGAAAGCAGAGAACACCTCTAGGTGGAGAGGTCTGGGTGAGCCTCATTGTAGAGTTGGAAGCTGAGAAGGACCTTGAAGAAGGTGTGAGGAAGTGCTATGAGTAGAAGGATATAAGGTTTTTATCTTTTTTTTTTTTTTTTGGATGGGAAGGCAAGAAATGTGGAAGAAGGCCACGTGCTAAGGTGTGATCTAGGGAAGCTAGTGCAGCAGGGTGGTACATGGGCAGGACCAATTAGGAGTGAAGGGAGTACTTGCCCAGGAAAGCCAGTACAATTTGGCAGTATGTGCAACAGGTGGGAAGTTGGTTTTCAACCCCATAGCTGGGGTTTTATGACTTGAGTGATTAACTTCTTGCCAGGCTGTCCAAGGTGGCTGCAAGGAGCAGGGCCTTTTGCAGATGTTCAGGGGGCTCACTGGATTGTGGGACTGGCCTCCAGGCCATAATGATGAATAGACAAGCTACCTGTCTGACCCAAGTCCCCTATTCTGGGCCAGGACCACAGAATAGTTTCCTTGTCATGCTTGGTCACAGCCTTCCAGAGGTTTAATGTCAAAGTTCACTGTCATGTGGTAGGGGGTCACAGTCTTGGGGGTTTGTTTTGCATTTTTGATTCTGCAGGTTGTCCATTTCTGAACAGGAAGAAGAGGAACAAGAAGAAGGTGGTGATGGGGCTGCAGGTGACCCCAAAAAGGAGAAGAAATCTCTAGACTCAGATGAGAGTGAGGATGAAGATGACGACTACCAGGTACTGAGTCTGGGCTCATTCAATAGACATATTTTGAGAACTATTCAGTCCTCATAGTAGATGCAGATAAAGTTCTTGCTCTTAAGAGTTTCATTTCTTTTGTGTGGTAGGGTGGGGTACTGGGGATTGAACCCAGGGTCACTCTATCACTGAGCTACATCCTCAGCTCTTTTAACATTTTATTTTGAGATGGTCTCACTAAGTTGCTAAGGTTGACCATAACTTGCCTCAGTCTCTTAAGTAGCTGATATTACAGGCATGTACACCTTGCCTAGCAAAGATTTACATTTTCTTTCTTTTTTTGGATCAGGGATTGAACCCAGGGGTGCTTAATCACTGAGCCAAATTGGGCCTCATTAAGTTGTTGAGGCTTGTCTTGGAACTTGCAGTCCTCTTGCTTCAGCTTCCCAAGGTACTGGGATTATAGGCATGTGCCACTGCGCCCAGTTCCAAGGATTTATATTCTAATGGAGAGATACAATAAAGAAATGAAAAATGGACAATATTAATTCAAGTATCGATAAGAGTTATGAATAAAACACTGTGAYGAAAGATACATAGAATAGTGTTATAGTGATGAGGTAACTTGGAGACTGAGATGAGAACAACATGGAGCCAGCCATGTCAAAACTGGTGTGTAGTCAGGTACAGTGGCACATTCCCATAATCCCAGCAGCTTGGGAGGCTGAGACAGGAGGATTGCAAGTTTAGACCCAACCTCAGCAAAATCGAGGCCCTAAGCAACTCAGTGAGACCTGTCTCTAAATAAAAAATACAAAATAGGGCTGGGGATGTGGCTCAGTGGTTGAGTTCAATCCCTAATACATACAAACAAACAACCAACTAACCAACCAACCAGATTAGCAGATGTAAAGGCCCTGGGGTGGGAACAAGCATGGCAAGTTCAAGGAACAGGAAGGGCCTGTAAGGCTTTGCATTTTGGGATAAGGAGTAGAGTGGTTTGGGGTGAATGAGGAGAGGTTGGCAAGGACAGCACCTGTGTAGCTGTTGAAGGGGGTTGGGTTTTATTACGATGGGAAATGGGCAGCTGGTAGAGTCCTTGATTGGGAGAACTGACCAGGTTTGTTTGTAAAAGATGGTTTGGGCCTCTTTGTGCACAGTGAATTGTAGGATATTAAGGGTGGAGGCAGGGAGATGGCGGCGTGTGTCTATAAATTGTGGTTTGTGCTGGGGTGGTGGCAGTAGCAGTGGATAAGAGTGGACATATTCAGGCCATACTTAGGGGTTGCTGAAGGAACGAGAAATCAAAGGTATGCTTAAGATTGACAGAAGGAACAGGTTAGGTGAGGAGTGATTCTCAAGTTCTGTCTTAGGTACATTCTAGTGTCAGGTGTCTGAATGGAGGTGTAGATTGGGTATAGGTATGTGGAGCTCAGTAGAGTGGTCAAATTGATTGGTATTCGGAACTGTATCCCTGGTCATTTAAGGAGGAAAGATAGGATTTTGTTTGTTTGTTTGTTTGCACATATTAATTATACAGAATGGTGAACTTTGTTGTGGCAATTTAAACACGAATATAACATAAGAAAAGATAGGATGTCAAACCTTGAAACTGACCAAACCTGCTGGAGACTGTTCTTGTTTCTTCCTGAACTACCCCAGGGGTGGTGGGAAGTACAGGCTTTAAGTTCTTGAGCCAGCTTTCAAATCCATAAACTCTGCAATGCAATGATCACTTTGATTCTCAAATTGCATTTCCCATTCATTTTCTATGATTGGAAGCATTGGAGTGAGTCCTGAGAACACATATCTGTGGTTCACCCTGCCTGAGGATCTAACATATGTTGGAGGAAGAATCAGGCCTGAGATTCTGTGGAAAATTGCTTCTGGAGGAAGTGGGGAAGTAATGTTCTGTGTTGAGAGCTACTGTCTACTTCTTGGTTGACCATGAGCAAGTTATTTAACCCTGAGATTTCATTCTGTTGCCTCTGAAACAGATTATAGCCCCCAGTTGCTAGAGTTGGCATAGATTGGGCCCTTGTTGCACATGCTCATTTTCCTTGCCCCTCCAAGGCTAGTGAAGATATGCCTGTGTGCTGCCCCCACTTGAGACTTGGGCCAAGCATCCTGCGGGCTGACGGTGGAGCAGGAGTTTGTCCCCATCCAGATGGGCTCTTAGGAGATGGTGGGAATGACTTTCAGGGGCTCTGCAGGACCCCARCTTCTCCAACAACCAGCTTCTTGCCTTGTCCTAGCAAAAGCGCAAAGGTGTAGAAGGGCTTATCGACATTGAGAACCCCAACCGGGTGGCCCAGACAACGAAAAAGGTCACGCAACTGGATCTGGATGGGCCAAAAGAGCTTTCAAGGAGAGAACGGTAATGTCTGCTGGGAAGTCTTGTGACAGCACACAGGCTGGGATGGGGGGTTGCTGAGGTGCTCGGTAGTTGGGGTATGGGGGTGCTCCAGCCATGTTGTTTGTTTATTTCTGCTTCATTTCATCCACCAAAGGCTCTACAATAGCTTCTCAAAAAAAAATTATATATAAACACATTTTTGTTTATCTATAGAGACATGTCAAGGGAAATAGACAGCAGATTCCAACCTGAACATTGCATTTGAAGTAATGGCCCAAGGACAAAAGGGATACCCTCTAGTCTCTGGCTACATCTTACTGTTTTGTTTACATCCATCCATGGTATTGTGGCCATGGGGTCTGGGGGATCTGAGCTAGCTAGAAGGCAGCACAGCCTAGTGCAGGGAAGTGTTGCTCAGCTGAGCCAGCTGCTCTGGGTATTTCCGAGTCCCATGTGAAAATGAAGCAGCTTTCCTTATGAGTTGTGTTAAAAGTTGAGATCTAGTACTAACGTAAGTCCTTGATAAGAAGTGGAGTTTTTTTGTTTGTTTGTTTGTTTTTGTTTTGTTTTCCTTTCTGATATGTAGTGCTGGGAATCTTGTATTGCTGTTCTGCCACTGACCTGCATCCCCAACCCCAGTGCCCTGACTTTTGATGGCCACCAGAGCCTTTAAGAAATGGAAGTCTACTGAGAAAAGCAGCCCTAGTTTCTCCTTATCAAGTTGCTAGGATTTCAGTTCATTATCCTGTGCGTACCCAGGATGCCTAGGAACATGTCTATGAAAACTCTGCAGGGAAGTCCCATGAACTTGAGATGTGGTTGGAGGCCACGAAGGACTCTCCTCATCTCCCTACCCCTCCAGTAGCTTCACCAGAAAGCCATTTGCACCACTGAGCTGGTGCTGGTCTTCCCAGAGAAGAAGGGCTTTAGTGCCCTTTAGTGGCACATTCTGCCACKTCACCACAGAGCACCCTTTCACAAGTCACTGCCCTTGCTGCTCCTGCCTTTTGGGTTGGGTTATCTCCTCAGTTCTGTAGCAGACTGTTTTGTCCAGTTTTCCGGGTGAGCCTTCTCATCCCACTCCTCATGGTTGTTACTCACCCATCTTCTCTCACTGGGTTTCGTGCCTTGTTTCTCAGTACTCCCCAGCCTTGTGGACTGTGAGGGCCTCTAAGAGGCCAACTCTCTCCCCTCCTCTCCTGCCAAACAAGCTCTCCCCTCCTTCAACACTTGGCTTCTCCAGATGAGTGCAAATGGTACCCTGTGATTGCATACCCTGAAGGGCATCTCCTCAAGTTCAGAGTCTTTGGCTTGGGAAGAAAATACTCCTGTTTCTTATAAAATGTGATTTTCAGTTCCTTGATCCAGGTCATTTTCTCTAGAACATGCAGTTCATTTGGTTTGGGTTAGCTTTTTTCACTGTGCCCACCAGACTAGTCATGAAGCCATCAGGCATCTTCCTGTGTTGCTGCAGCCAGACATTGTCCCCTCTCATGCCAAGGCTTTCTCACAGGGTTTGCCATCTGAGCTCATTCCTTCTGCTTGCTTATTTGCTGAGTGTCCATCAGACAGGGATCACAGAGCCAAGGCCCCTCCCTTAGCTGGAGCACCCTCTTCTACCTGGGCCCTAGTCCTGAGTGCTTAGCCTTCATTCTGGCTCCTACATCCAGTTCAGCTAACGGTGTGGGGAAGATGTCCCCTGAGACACCATTTTATCCAAACAGAGAGGAAATAGAGAAGCAGAAAGCAAAAGAACGCTACATGAAAATGCATTTAGCTGGGAAGACAGAGCAGGCCAAGGCTGACCTTGCCCGGCTGGCCATCATCCGGAAACAGCGGGAAGAGGCAGCGAGGAAGAAAGAAGAGGAGAGGAAAGGTAAGTCCCAGGGATGGTTACCTGCCTGTCTGGGCAAGCCACCAAACCTTTTACTTTTGTCCTTGTCCATGAGGTCAGAGTGGGTGAGGACTGATGCCGCAGTCTGGCTGGGCACAGAATCATGAGCCACCACACACCTTGTAGATTCAAACAGCAATTCTTTATTCCCGAACTCACACCGGCCTCTACAAACACGTTCTGAGGAAATCCAAGTTCTGCCCGCAAAATTCACATACTCCACCAGGCTTTGAATCCCAGAACTGAAGGGGAACTCAGGCAGCAGGATGCGCCCTATTCCCAGCAGGAATAACCTTAAACCTGGAACCGCCCTAAACCCAGATTGTCCTAAACCAGGAACGCCCTAAACCCAAGGAGCAGGATGCTCCCTAAAACCTGCAGGATACACCCTAAACCTGGATCCGCCCGGATCCACCCTGGTCCTTGAGCAGGGTCACCTTTCTCAAACATACATGCAATGCARTGTCACTGCGAATGTCCAAGGCAGGTCCATTTCCACGAGTCCTTCCTCTAAGCAACATGGGGTACGCTGGCAAGGAAATTGTCATACCTACTTGGCTAATGGCTCTCAGCAGACTGATAACTGCCTGACCAGCTTATCTAGTAGAGACTTACTCTGCATGTACAAGTAGAGAGGGAGGCCCCTGCTCACCACCCCTCAGGGTGCTGGAGGGTCCAGCAGCATTGTGGAGTCTCAGCAGAGCACTGAGAGCAGTCGCCTCACCGATGGCAGGAGGTCTTAGAGTGCCAGGTCAGACCTTTGAAGCTGAAAGGTCTTGCTAAGGTCTTTGGGGCCTTGTGAAGCCAGAACTGCCTGGAGTCACTATCATCCATCCACTGGGCTTGGGAGGTGGTGAATTCCAGCCCAGGTGCCTCTCTTCCTCATGCCCTACCAGAGGGAGGTCAGGGTGGCTATGGGGGCTTGGTTGGTTTATAAACATTTTATTTATTTATTTATTTATTTTTTGACAGAGCCTCACTAAGTTGCTGAGGCTGTCCTCAAATTTGCAATCCTCCTGCCTCTGCCTCCCAAGTCACTGGGATTATAGGCCTGTGCCACCAAACCTGGCTACAGTCTTTTTTTTTTTTTAATATTTACTTTTTTAGTTGATGAACCTTTATTTTATTCACTTATTTATATGCAGTGCTGAGAATTGAACCCAGTACCTCAAACATGTGAGGCAAGCGTTCTATCACTGAGCCCCAGCCTACTTTTTCTACTTTTTTGTGGTGCTGGGGTTTGAACCCAGGGCCTTGTTCATGCAAGGCAAGCACTCTACCAAATGAGCTATATCTCCAGCCCCCTACATTCTACTTTTTAACCATCTCTTCTGGGGCCCTGAAAGCCCTTAGAGATCCTGTTGTCCTGCCTCTTTGCCAAATTATGAGGAAACTGAGAGTGGAAATGAGAAATCAGTTGCTCAGGAGCATTGTCACCCACACTGGAGATCTGATTATCCAGACTCAGCTTGCTTGACAAACTAAACAGGAAAGGACTTCATGTGTAACTATGTGAATGGTGTTACTGACTTGAGATTTTAACATTAGAACCCATGGAGAAAGGTTGGAATTATGGGGTTCTCCCCAGGATGCAGGGAGGAGTTTCCAGAACCCACTCGATTGCATATTAGTGGGTCTTTATGGATAGGGCAGCTTTTGATACAGTGACAGCAGTCACTCACTACTTGAGGAATGTCTAGGTGCCTGGGTCTTGGAACTTCAGCAGACTTCTCCTGCAGGGGTTGTCCACCTAGGCCCTTCTCTGGTCTCTCTGCCTTACTCCTATCTATGTACAGTGGTTTTTGAAGCCTCTCAGACATGAAGTTTTGGGGGTTGTAAGGGATGGATTTGTTTTGTTCTAACTCCTGCCCTCCCCTCCCACTCCTCAGCAAAAGACGATGCGACTTTGTCAGGAAAACGGATGCAGTCGCTCTCACTGAATAAGTAAGCACGGCTGTGGAGGAGAGGCCAGGGGCTGGGCCGTGCCGCCAGGACCCCTCCCGTGCCACCTGCCCTGCGCCCTGGTGCCGCTGCAGCAGCCCCTCACGACCAGGAGCCCCCCACGGCCTGGGGCCTCCTCTTCATCTTGGCACAGAAATCGTTTGGGGGGGTGTGGGGGGCTGGGGGGAGGGGGCAGCTGCTATCTTTGAGACAGAAAGATGCAGGACAGCATTTCATATGTAACCATTTGAATGTTTTTGCTGTTTTTTAGAATTCAGAACCCTGGTTGGGGGGGTGGGGGGCGCCAGGGAGGTGGGGTAAGAAGAGCTTCCATTTGTTCAGTAGATTGCACGTTAGTGGGTGGTCGTGCCAGGGGCAGCTGCTGATAAGTTTGTGACAACTAGCCCCAGTCTGTGTTGCCTGGGTGCTCACTAAGAGAGGCTCTTATCCAGGAGCCCGTGCTCCTGGGTCCCTGAGGGTCATGTCTGGTCCCTGGCCAGTCCCCTCTGACTGAGGCCTCTCCTCTCTGCCCTTCCCTGTCTCATTCCCACCCATCTGGCCAGGGCTAGTGCCCATTTTTAACCCTACCCATTGATCATTTCAAGAAAACCTCTGTTTACTGTGCAGCACCCAGGCAAAACATGCTCCACAAATTCAACTTGTATATTTGGCAGATTAAACTTGACATTATCGTAAGCTTTGTTTTGCAATCTGTCTTTTGGCTCCTGTGCCCAAGCCATTTTTACTTATGGTGGCACTCAGGCAGGGCACGTAGCAAACCTTCTGTTGGGTAGCATGTGCAATATGCAGGGATTATTCCTGGTCCCACAGCAGGCTGGAACAGCATAGGCCACCTTCTCCAGGTGCCCCCTGATGGTAACAGCCTAATTCTGTGCTGGAAGAAGCTTTCCAAAAGCTGAGGGCTATCATCACATTTAGCTTTTACCGTATTTTATGGTGGGGACTGTCAGTGGGGAAACATTAGCAATGGGTTGTGCTACAGATTCACGTCTAGTGAAAGGTAACTGCACAGCACCTGTCCTGCCTCAGCACCCATCTGAAGCATTCTTTACCTTTGTGTTTGGTCCTGAAAGATTAGTGGGTCTGTTGATGTCGTGGGGTGCCACGCAGGGAGGGGTGTGGGTGGGAATGGTGTGGTTTGCCCGAGATCAGGCAAAATGATTTAGTAGCAGAAATGGTATTGAGCTCCTGACTCCCAGGAACTTCTTACAACATGCCTTGGGAACTGATGGAGAGATTCCACAGTGCCAGCATCTGCATTTTGCCCTAGTGTCCTGCAAATCCTGGCCCCTGAGGAGCAGGAATTCCTCAAGGGGCAATGTCTTCCTGCTGCCTGGAGATCATGTACCAGTTTCCCAGGCTCGTCTGTAGCCATGAAATGAAGTTCTCTGACAAGATGGAAGAAGGTGGTAGCTGTTTGGCCAGGTTCCCATTGCCGGCTCTGAAACTGGGCAGCAATGAGGTGGGTGCTGAAAGCCGGAGGAGGTCTGTAAATGGCTGGTGAAGAGTCAGGGCTTTGTAAGAATCCTCTGGTGCTCAAGGCAAGGACTTCCTGGTGTCTACAGGTCCAGGAGTATAGGTTTACAGTCTTGCCTGGATACCTGGGCGATGTGTGGACTAAAGCTCCTTGGACTSGAAGCATTTCTCTGTGGTTTTACCAGAGACCCTCTTAGCAGACACCCCTATAGTTGGGGTTTGGAAGTCAGACTTGTGTTTGAATCCTGGCTGTGCCACTTTCTGCCTGTGGGAGTTTGTAACATCTTTCTCTGGTATGTGTTTTGGCAGTGCTGGGACCTAAAGCATGGTAGGCCATGTTACTGAGCTATACCCCCCAACCCCATTTTCCTCTTTAAAATGGGCAGAACAGGTCCTTCCCAAGATGGGGACACAGTGTTTTGTGTCTGTTGGACTCCTCCAACTCTTGTACTACTAAGTCACCTAGTCTTTTACCTAGTCACCTAAGCCAGGTAGATATCCTAGCTGCCAGCCCCATTTCCCCTGCCCCACTGTGACATTCACACATAAATACTGCCGCAGCCTCCTCTTGGGCCTCTGGTCTAGTCTTTGGAATGCAAAGCTAGCTGTGGCCTGTGTGGTCCCAAGAGCTGCCAGGAGCTGGTGAGCCTTCCTGGCCTCACCTCATCCTTCAGTTCCCTGAAGGCCCCCACTTTTGCTCACCAGCCCTTGGTTCATGCTATGCCTTGGCTGGCACCTTCCCTCAGTCTCCTTTTCCTGAACTCTCCTGGGCACTGGGTTATCTGCCTTCCCCACCAGACTGTGAGCTTCACAATACCAACTCTGCCCTCATTGTCCCCTCAGTACCCAGCAGGGCTTGGCATAGGAAGGCCCAGCGAGTCTGTCAGGGTCCTAGTGACCACTGGTGATGTGTAGCACAGAGCGGGGTCCAGGGTCACCCTCCTTTCTGGACTGGGCCTGCTACCTGCCAGGCTTGGAGGAACCCAACCCTACCCTGTCAGTGCCCATGTAGTGCCTTTTCCTTTAGGGGAAGCACTTTGGAACCTGTGTCACTTCCATTATACACAAGCTGTTGGGGTTGGAGCCAGGGCCTCACACATGCTGGGAAAGCACTCTACCACTCAGCCCCAGCCTCTGAACCTGTCCTCTGCCTCCTGCCCCCACCGAACAGCTGCGCTGGCCTTGAACTCTCAAGTCTGTCTCAGCCTCCTAAGTAACTTGATTATAAGTGTGTGCCACTGTGCCTAGCTCCACACCTGTTATTTTAAAGCCAATACTTGTGCTCTCTGAAATAGGCTGCAAGTCTGATGAGGAAGGTCGGCAAGCTTCTGCAGAGCTCCTGTAGGAGGCGCCTGAAAGACTGTGGAGGGAAGCATGCTGCTCAGGGTGGGGTGTGGGTTGGGTGTTGCTGGGGACCCTATCTGCCTGAGGAAAGCAGCAAAAGGGGTATGAATGCCTCTTTGCCCATTACTGCAGGGCCTTGCGACAGACACCTCAACGTGGGGACCCAAACTCTTAATGGGCTAACACAGGCTGGGACTGCATTTAGTAGAGAATAAGGGGAGCTGGCAGTTCATTGGTAAGCAGTTCATGACCAGTGGAAAACCACCCTCCTTCCAAACACACAGGCAAGCATGTCCACAATTGCATTTTTATTACCTCCATTTTCTGAAGCAGTTCATGACCAGCATTGTGCTTTGGTGGCTTTTTTTTTTTTTAAACAATAAATGAAAGCATTTCTTTAAGAAAAAGGCACATATTCCTTGAATAGGTAAGAAAAGCTCTTCCCCTTCTAAGGGAGCAGTCCCTTACTGGTACCCCAGAAGCATTCAGCAAAGCCTTCTCAAGCCCTTCCTGGCCCCTTTCCCCAGCTGCTGGGATGAGGGCAGACTCCCCACAGGTCATTTGATCTTGAGGTCCTTCAGGGCTGACTCCAAGCTCTGCAAGGAGGCAGAATGGGCAGACTGGTTCTCAGCTGTTGTGCCCCCATACACAAGGCCCCCAATCTATGCCCCCTTAGCCCCAGCAGAGTAAAGGACAGAACCTGGTCTTTGGAGTGGGGCAGATCTGAGTCTAAATCCCAACCAGAGGGCATGCAAGCCTAGGGGTCAAGGGCTACTCCATTACTGCACCCCCAGCCCCAAAAATGCCTTTCTCCTGTAGGAGTGAAGGACTGGGTCATCCAGGGCAGCTGCTGGGGAGGTGGAGAGGGGAGAAAGGTCAATCCAGGGGCCTGGAGGGAACTGGGATACAACAAAGTCTCACCTTCACATCCCAGATGCTCATGCCACCATCCATGCCTGTTGTGCAGAACTGTGAGCACTTTGCCTTTCCCCCACTGAGCACTGAGATCTGGCTGTAAGGAGGATGAGAAGCTTGGGGATCCCAGCCTATGCACCAGGAACTCCCAAACTCCTATGAGATGGAAGTGCAAGATGGAGGTGCCCAGCCAGGGACAGGTTGAGAGTGGGCTTGGGAGTCTGCTTTGGGGACCAGCAATTGCAGAAGACACTGAAGGGCTGGGCAGGGAGGAAGGACATGCACATCTAGGGGATGAAGTGCCAGTAATGTGCTGGGACAGGGGAAAAGAAGGGAGAAATGAGGTTGGTTCTAAAAAGATGCTTAGTTGGAAGATTGGGCAGATATAGGCTTATAGCCAAGGGGCTGTTGAAGTCTTGCCATCACCCTGATTAACATGGCTGGCAGCTTTGGGTTTTGGAGGGTCCTCAGGTGACTGCAGAGGGACCCTTACCTCCACTGGGTTCTAGTGATAGACCCATCCACAAAAAGCCTGCTGCTCACAGGCCTCACTCCTAGGACAGTCCAATTATCAGCGAGGCTAATGCTCAGCCCCCGCCTGCTGTGATTTTTGTGCACCCAAAAGAGTTCTCAACTGCTTCCCAGATGGTGTCCCTCCCTCCAGGGCTCCCCCTGCACCTGACTTCTTGGGCAACCCTGGCCTTGCCCCCACCCTGCCCTCACCTGACACTGTTCTTGTGCAGAGAGTCCAGCCCAGCTCCGGCGCCTGCGCCACCTTCAGAGCTGGCCTTTTTGTCCAGGTTCTGGAAACGCTCACGGGCTGTCAAACCCCGCTGCGAGCTCTGCTTGGGCACATCCAGCCGCCCACCAAAGGTCAGTGTCCCCGCGGCACCATCGTAGGTAAACAGCACTGGAAAGCAGTCATGGCCCTGTGGCCATGTGGGGTTACCACTGAATGCCTGCCAGGGCAGGCTGAGCGCCCCCATTCTCCACCCAACAGAGGAGAGGTGAGGCAAGGTGCTGGGGAGCATCATATATCCCATGTGGGGCTTTGATGGCACTTCCACTGAAATGAATGTCCCAGCTTGGGGACATGACCAGGCCATGAAGAATTAGGCCTCAACCCCAGGTATGCAAATGGGATGGATATGGGAACTGTCCTCTCACACAGCAACGCCAGGATCTAGTTGAAAATCTTGGACTCCCCAAAGAGTTCCACCCAGCCAGTTATACCACCTCCAGGAGAGACCCTGCAGCTAGCTGCTCCTCTGGATTTTCTCCTCATAAGGCAACCGGGGAAGCATGTCAGAGACCAGGCCTCCTTCAGACCCCCTCATAATACCCACACTGCACATGAAATGGGAGCAAGAAGTCCTTACTGTGTTAAGCCAGGGCAACTGGGGATTTTTTGTTGTTACTGCAGCATAACCTAACCTATTCTGTCCCATGTGGATACAAATGGGTGTAAGGCATGAAGGGAACAAGGGAGAGGGGGAGGTAGGAGAGCTGCTCCTACCAGCCACCACTGCTTACCGCTGCCACCAGACTGTTTTCGGTGATGAAGGTGAGGGCCAGCAGTGGCAATGTTTCAGAGGCCAGTGTGGCAACGCTGAGGGGAAGAGCAAGGTTAGCCACCGGGCACCACCTCCTGCCTGTGTCTGGGTTGCCCTGTAGCCCTGCACCTCCACCCCTGTACTCACGCCATCTTCTTGTCGGCATCAGCCAGGCACACGGTACTGTCATGGCTGACCCAGGCCACACGGCTCCCGCTGGCTGAGAAACAGACGCCGTGTACCCAGCCACAGCTACTGTTGGACTCGAACATCAGCTCCCCAAAGGGCATCTTGGAGCCCCATGGAGTCGGGGCTGGTCGTTCCTCCACCTCCTTGATGTAGGCAGAGAAGATCCTGCCAGCAGAGGCAAGAAAGGAACTGAGGTTT